ATAATGGAATAAATAATTTATGGAAATCAATAAATGTCTGGAAGGTAATGGAACCATAAGCAAAAGCACTTACAAGCTTCTAACAAATTAATCTTGCCGAACTTCATTTGTTTTGCTTTCCTGAATAGTAATGTGCAATTAAAGGAAAACCAGCAGCATTCTAAGTTCAAAATAGTTTAATAGTAACAATTCCAAATAGCAAAGCTGGACAGCTGAATACCTGTGACGTTTCTTGAATTTTCACCTTCACTTTAATAAACAGATTTGATTCATTAACTTTCTAATTGGGAAATACTGCAATTTGAAAACAAAATAAAAACACATTCCATTTGCATCCTTGTTCGGTCTATATCAGGAGCAGCTGATCTTTCACATAGCTGTATCAGTCTGTTATAAAGTAATAATTTTTGTCAGAGTTCATAATTACTTAGTGCTTTTATATATATTTTATGTTCTACTTATGGAAACTCAGTGGGAAGACATAATCTGAGGGCCTAATACATTAGTTTCTAGATAGATGACTGTAAGAGTGATAAATCTACAGAATTATTCCACAACTGTTTTTAGTGTTTGACTCTGTTTCCCTATTTGGAAAAAAGTATGCAGACTGGAGTAATTTAGTGTAGCTGCTAATAAGAGGCAAAACTTTTTTGTTTACCTCAGCAAAGGTGTGAGATAAAGATTTTATTCCCTTGATTGGCGTCTTTCAAAAGTGTATGTGAGAAATGGGTGTGTAAGTCTAAGCTGCTTCCCACATTCAGTCAAAATATACCTTGTTTAGGAGAACTACTAAATTTCTGTGCGTCTTCCATTTTTGGAAAGCAGCAGTTTTAACAAGCTTATTACATATAATAAATTTCAGCGAAGGGAAGTGGGTTGTCTAAAGTGACCTCAGAGATGGGTCTGGGTTGTCTAAGGGGACCTCAGAGATGGGTCACATGTGACTTTTTTTTTTCTTTTTGCCAGAAAGCCACCCAGATTTTTCTAGGAAAAAATAAGAGAACTGAGGTTCTTGCTAATTCTCTGTTAAATAAAAATAGACCTAGTGTAGTATTCCGTGTAATGGCAGGGGATTTCTGTCGTGGAAGTAAGTAAGTTCAGTAAATGTGTACCTGGCTAGCTGCATTATCTGCATCTTTGTATTAATGATCTTTAACTCCCGTAGTTTTTCTAGGGTAGAATTTTGGGAACCTGAAACTCCTTCAGATTGGAAGCATTCAGTTTATTAAGGAAATTAGTACTTTTCATCTTAAATACTACATGTGGCATAGTTATTTTTCAGTGTTTCCTATCTTGCTTTTGTCTGTTTTGCCAGTCATTCTGTTTTCCTACAGGTTGCTGGTTTTTTGACTGTATAATATTTTTTGTAAGTATTTAGCAAGTGATGATAGTTCTAAGACACAGCCGAATATGCCTGACTATTGGATTTAGTTTTCCCACGGTAAGACTTCATGGCCTGGTACTCTGAAATAGAGCTTGCTTACAATTTCCTTGCTGAGGAGAAGAAGAATAATGGACCGCAAAACACATTCCATTGCCATTAGCTTTTCAAGTGGCTTGAGCTATTCATTGGAAAAAGAGTGTGCTACAGCAATTAAGTTAATCTCTAAGCTTAGTCTGCTTGCCATTTCCAAAAATGAGATGGACATCTGTTTTGCAAAGGAGCTAATGTTTTATTGATGGTAGAAATTATTAACTAAAACTGAAGTTGGAAACGTGCAAGGAATGGAGGTTTTGCAGTGCCATATGAGGTTGCAAAGGAATTGTCTAAGATGTTTAAGAAGTCTGTTATGATTGTGTCGTGTCCTAAACTGGTTAGAGCACTCTTTAGTGGGAAACGTGAAGGCAGAAAGCCTTCAGAAAATCAGAAACCTCTGCGTTCATACTCTTCTATTTAATTCACGTGTAGGAGAACCTCACTGATAAGACAATGGTGGTCAGTAAAAGAAGTTACTCCTTTATAAACACTGTGCAACAAAAACTACTTTTCAGCTTTACATGTGGTAAATATTTTAAGTCTCCTTTACAAGCATCTCTGTATACATTTGACCTCAGACAGAGGGCTTTGAGTCCAAGTGAATGTTTTGTTACTCCTGGAGGAAAAGGGGTTATGTGTACCATTCAGACTGGCTGGGTTGAACTAGTACAGCAATATAGCAGAGTATCTTCTGGAGCTGAAAAGAAAAATACTTATCAGAAGATTTTATTTTATCCTGTAGGTTACCAAAAGTATTTTTAAGCTTAAACTTCTCTTCTCTGTTAGTCCTCCCCAAATACTGCCATGAACATGCAGTAGAGTATCTCCCGTCTGGATGCTTGGGGAGGATATTTTTCGAGTTGGTTAAAGTTCACATTACAGAGAAGTGGTGGTTGCCAATACGGTATGTATTCTCTGGATGTAGGAACTGAATAGTTATCACTAGAAAATGAGACTGTTATTTCTTCTGTTTTTCTTATGCTAACTTTGAAGTGTACTATGCAACGCATGTGGTTTTATTATTAAACATAAAAGATTAACGTGAAACTGGCAGTCATTAAGATTAAGTGAGAAATATCAGGAATCTGATCAGTCTGCTATATATAAATAGGGTGTGCTTGTGTGTGTCAAAATAACTGGGAGTCCTGGTGGACAGCAAGTTAACCATGAGCCAGCAATGCGCTCTTGTGGCCAAGAAGGCCAGTGGTATCCTGGGGTGCATTAGGAAGAGTGTCGCCAGCAGGGCGAGGGAGGTGATCCTCCCCCTCTACTCAGCCCTGGTGTACTGTGTCCAATTCTGGCCTCCCCAGTACAAGAGAGACATGGCACTACCGGAGAGAGTCCAGCGGAGGGCTACAAGGATGATGAGGGGACTGGAGCATCTCTCCTCTGAAGAAAGGCTGCGAGAGCTGGGCCTGTTGAGCCTGCAGAAGAGAAGACTGAGAGGCGATCTCATCAATGCGAACAAGTATCTGAAGGGAGGGTGTCGAGAGGATGGGGCCAGTCTCTTCTCCGTGGTGCCCAGCGACAGGACAAGAGGCAACGGGCACAAACTGAAACGCAGGAAGTTCCGTCTGAACCTGAGGAAAAACTTCCTTTCCTGTGAGGGTGACTGAGCTCTGGAACAGGTTGCCCAGAGAGGTAGTGGAGTCTCCTTCGCTGGAGATATTCAAAAGCCGTCTGGATGTGATCCTGGGCAATATGCTCTAGGTGACCCTGCTTGAGCAGGGGGGTTGGGCTAGATGATCTCCAGAGGTCCCTTCCAACCTTGGTCATTCTGTGATTCTGTGAACTTGGGGTCTTTCCACACAATATCAAAGATGGGATGTGCAGCAATTGTTGACCTGCCTGACTTAGTGTTGAAATATCAGTAGTGGTCTGGCTATCATACATAAATGACTGTTGTAGTCAAAATTTGTGTCCTACTTCAAACTTTCCCATCTTCTGACTAGGCTTAAGCTGACCATTTAGTGCCCGTTTTCAAAGAATATGTTCTGAAGCCTGTGTAAGTTGCTGCCTGTTGTGATCTTTTGCTTGGGAGAAGGCATAAGGGTAGGGGAAAAGTGCTCTCTCTTTTGCCTTGCCCAAATATGAAAGGTGGTTTAGCTTTGGGACTGATCTGTAAGCATGTGAGCGTTGATGCTATTTAATGGGCAGCCTCCTCTTCTCTTGTGACCCAGCCTGGTAAGTTGGATTGCAGGTTCTCGGTATTCCATTTCCACATGTGGATGGTGTGAGGTCTGCTTGGCCATGTGGCCATGATTAGAATAGGTCAGCTGGACAGGGCTAATGCTATTTAAGACTTTAAATACAACCTTGACTTACATCTTGTTGTGTAGTTCTGTCTATATGTCCCTGTATACTTTTCTTGTCTAATAGGATACTCAATACAAACATCATACTTGCTAGAAGTGTTAAGTAGCAAGCCATCATACTTCATGACACAAGATTCTGCTTACTCTTCTTGCTGTGGTTTTGTGTAGTTACATTTAGAAAAAGATGCTATGGCATCTAAGAAGGCATGTGTCTCTGATATGGCATGAGAGCATGCAGACAATATTGCTGCTGCTAGGTAAAATAGTACTGAATTTTTTTACTACTACTTTTTATAGAGTGTACAGCCTAGGTATGTATGTGCATGTGTGTATTAAACTTAACTGAGTTACCCAGACGTGATCTGTGACTACTGTTCGCCCCTGCCATGTATAAGCTGCACGTAAGCTATAGGCAAGAGTCATACCTTTCTTTTAAATGGAGAAGCAAACAAATGTAATCGGACCATAAACTTACTGTGTGATTCATTGTGCCCTTTGGGCAGAAAGATGTCTTCTTGCTGAGGGAACAGTTGTGCTTTCCTCTTGACAGTATTTCCAAAGAATTATTTTCATTAAATTTATGGCTTTTTATACTAATCAGGATACTTTGTAAAAGGTAATTTCACATTATATTTAAAAAAAAAAAACCATGAAAGAACCAAGAACTGCTCTTTCGCTGTCTTTTGATGGTACAGTCTGATTTTTAAAGGTGGAGAAAACAGCCCATACATCAGAGATTTGCTGTTTTTTAGTCCTTCTGTCTGTTTGCTTTTTGCTCATTACTAGTTGAGATTCCAGAAAAACTTTGTTCATGGAACATACTGAAAACGTAACATTGAAAAAGAGATCTGGTTCCCCAGGATAATTTTAGTGTTTGTAATTTTCAGGTATGTGAGGGCTACAGTTTTAAGAGTAAAAACTTAATCTGTAAAAAGGAATTATGTTACTATTTGTCATAGGTGAGAAGTCATAATTTTATAAATCTCACAAAATACATTGTTGATCTCTGATAGGGGCAGAATTTAAATTCCCTGGGCTTTTACCCTTTTTCTACGTCATTATGTATGTGTCCTCCAGTTGGGGCAATACTGGAACATACAACTGTAAAGTATTCCTTACGTATTTAAAAGCAATCTCTTTATGAAGAGTAATATACTTTGTCTGAGTAAGCTCATTACATTTTAATATATACCCTAAATGTTTTTCAGGAACTCCAGAAAAGAACTTAATGACATACGGTTTGAGTTTACTCCAGGCAGAGGTAAGGCTGCTTTATTTGAAATTATCCTCTTAATTGCTCCAAAAGGTATTTCAGAAATTGGTTACTGCTTTTGATTAATATAAATTAACACTCTAAAGTATTTCCTACAATGCAGAGCTGTATATTGTACTTAACTCGAACAAGTATAGCAGATGTGTGTAAATTGTAGTGGCCAGGTTACATAATGTACGGTATGTATTAGAAGATTTTATCTTTCTTCATTCTACTTTTTACTCAAATGTTCTATACAGTATGTAAGATCTTGAATGGTGATGTTTGTGGCTGCAGAATGTACATTTTCACATTTGGAAAATATCATAGAAAGTGGAACATAGTAGCCATAAAGGTGTATGTGGTGGTGGTGGTTTATATCTGAATTGCTTTGCCCTCTGTAACAGAATAAGTTTATTAACATACTATTAACAGGTATGAATTGTACACCGTTTTTCAAATGCTGGCTTTAAGTGGAAGATGAGTTGCATGTCTAGCTTATGAATCATCACCAGAAGTAAATTATGTCATTGAAACTTAGGACTCTACTGCATGTTTGTAGAACTGTGTTGATTTACCAGTGCTGAGTTCTAAGAAGCCATAAAACTTAGTTTTGTTTGGAAAAAAACCCCAGGTATTATTTGGATAAAAGACACAGGAGGAGGAGATGTTCAGTAAGAAGGCAGCATCTTTTGTTACATAGCAGTCGTTGAACTATAACCACATTTCATATTTCACAGAAGTCAGTATTTACTTTATTTAGAATAGCCCTCAAAGAACTTCTGCCTAAAAATGAATCCAGGTTGGCAAAGGTATCTCTTTTTCTGTAAATCATAACATCTTTTATGTGCAGTGATTCTGCGCACGGATATATTCTCTGTTGTCTACCTGCATGTCTCATTGATTTTGGAACTGGGGAATAACTACCAAAAATAGCTTTCATTTAACTGGCGACATAGGATCTTGCTTTAGTCACTTCTCAAAAGAATTACTTAAATACGCTGTAAGCATGTAAGCCGTGCAAGAATTCTTATTTGGTCAAAAATGGAGAATTCAGCATACCAGACACCAGGATCCTGTGTTCCCAGTAGTTGGTCACTGAGTTAGCCAGCACAAGGCTATGGCGCTACTCTTCAGAGCTCTTCAGAAATTGCAGCTAGCTCAGATATATTGTTCTTCCTCTGCGTATTTCTTCAGAAATGAAGTTTTTAAGTGTCTCAAAGCATGCCCTCCATGCAGATGCTTGGCGCTGAGGCTGTAGTCAGGTGATACTTCAGTGTAATTTAGGCTTGTTCTTGCTATTTCCTGTGTCTTGTCGCTAAGCCTTACAAAGTCTTTATCCAGAAGCAAATACGAGGCACAGGGTCTTTGGAATTAACCTACTCAGATGCAGCAATTGATGTTCATCGTACAGCTCTGAGTCTCCTAGGTCACAATATTCAAAAGGTGCTTTGAACCTAAAGCTCAAAGAAAGTAATTATTGTTCATGTAACTCCCCTGACCCAGTAATAACAGACAAGAAAGCCTATTACAGCACTTCTCTGTCTCTAGATACATAGGACAGTGGGGAGAGCAAGAGAGACTCTTTCGCTCTCTTACAAAAGAGTGAAAAGAATACCACAACAAGGCTTATTTTTGTGATTGTAAAGATATTAAAGTTGTAAAGTAAGCGGGAGTACCTTGTTAGGTAAGAGAGGAGAAATGCTAGTGTCCAGGAATGGTCTGTTTGGGGTTTGTAATGAATCAAATAATCTCCTCATGTGTTTTGCTGTGCAGAGGCTGATAAGATAATTACCTTGAAAAATTATGGTACTTTTTTTTTCCTCCTAATGAAAGATAATTTTGAATTCAGGCCTGTCTCCATGGGTGTTTTGGAACTAAAATATGTTTTTGTTAAATTGCATTGGATGATTGATGCTTTTTGTTGGTTTTGTGGGCTCTTATACTTATTCATTTCACCTTTTGTACAGACACAGCAGATGGCGTTTCTCAGGAGCTGTTCTCTGCAGGCCTAGTTGATGGCCATGATGTAGTTATAGGTAAATTACATTTTTGTTTGCAATTATGCTCTTGTGACAAGTCTGTGTTAAATGGATGTGAAAAATGTATTCTCTAACTCTGCTTTCTGTAAAATCCTTTTTGTTCTAAATTTGTTTTCATGTATGCGTGGTACAATCAACAAGCCAATTTTGATATCAGTCCAAGGACTGTCTTTGGAAGTCAGAACTCTTTAGTGGTTTGAGGGGGATGATATAATACAGATCTCCCACCGGGTTGTTTACAGTTCAGTGATGGATCATTTTTGTACTAACTTAATTTTTTCTGTTTAGAAGTAAATTGATTTGGGGTTTTTTACTTTTCAAAGTATGCTTTGGCAACTCTGCTCCCAATGAAGTTAATAAGTACCCCTTTGACTTCATGGAAGTAGAATCAAGCCAGAGTTCAGGATCTGGGGAAATTGTACCTAGGGATATCATTCCTAGCAGAAAAAGGTAATCAGAATGTTTAGTGGCTGCTGAAAAGAAAGATGCCTCTCTATTTTTCTATTCTGTGTTCAATGATTTTTTTAAAACATATTTTTAAAATGAAGTTCAATGCTAGGCAAAGGTGATTCGTTTGGAAGTGCTTCATTGCCTGCAGTTCCCCCTTTTTCCTGGTTGTTCAAGATAGATACGTAGAAATACAGTTACCAAAAATCAGAGAGGGTTTAGTAGATGTTAAAAGTGTGAGAACTGAATCAAGGAATGGATCAATTTTAGTGTTTCTGTCCAAGAAGTTTTATATCAATTGGTTGAGATATCGTTGCAAAACTCTTCAATGATATGTAGAGTGTTCTACAAATTTGTAAGTTCATACCACTTGCCTGGAAGGTTATCTAAATACATTTTCAATGTATTCCTAAGCGAGCTAACATATTTCAGAGAGAACCCAAGAGTTTTTGCTTTTGTATGTTTGGTTGACTCTAACTGATGTAAGAAGCAATAGTCTTACCTATGCTTTTGTTTTAGCTTCTAATGAAAAGGTATTTAGGGAAGGTTAGCAGATGATACAGGCTAGCTAGCAGTTACTCTTCTCTCAAACTCTGTTCTATTGCATTATTACAATAAGCGCTCAGGGGAGAGGGGACAGCTGGCCTCAGTTTGTTGCCGTTTAAGCATCCAGTATGAAAAATGTCATTACCATGCTGTTGAAGATGCTTTTGTTCGGTATCCTGTGGAGATGAAACTTTTAACTTCTTTTTTATAAAAAATTAATAAATAAATATAAATTTTCTATTTAGAAGAAGAATCTTTATCTGTGAACAGGCTATCCCAGTTGCCGGGGCAGTCAGCTGGCGCTCTCCTTATTGCACAGAAGTAGGAATCACAGCTGGTGACATTGCAGTGCAAGTCTCCGTAGGACCCAGGGAAAACCCCTTTTTCCTTCTTCACTCTTCCCTTTTGTCTTTGTGCTGCAGAGTTGTTCTCTTCCAGTGCAAAGTCCCAGTGCCCTTATGGAATTAGCACCATAGTGGGATTTGATATGATCTTTCGGGGGAAGTTCAGGGAAAGAAAAGGAAATGAGGATAGATACTCCTTATGGGTTTAGTGATGGGACTCTGGTTTTTGAAGAAATATGCATATTTAAATAAATAATAAGGTATTCCCTGGCAGGTTTGGTTAGAGACACTGTCTAGATAATAAATAATAGAAGTTTATTTCCTTGTTTAATTCCCGTTTTGAATTGCGTCAAAAACTTTGATTTTTAGTACTATGATGATAGGCCTTTCTGTTTTTTCCTGTTCATCTTTTCATCGTAGTATTATGAAAAAGTAAGGAAAGTCAAGCTGAATGCTTTAACTATATGCAAAAAATGTATGATTTCATTAGAGGTCTTTTATGTGTCCATTTTTCTATGGTGGTTTAAGCCCTTGAGTTCCACAGGTAAAAATTCTTGCATTACTGGGTACTATAATTTTTACTTATGTGTCTGCTCACCTGTGAAGTTGTTTAAGTTTTCAAGTATTTTTAGGCATTATGTTATCTTTCTAGAGTATGACATAATATTTCATATTTTACTGAAAAGGATGTTTTGCTAACTGGCATTTTGCTTTTTATTAAAAAAAATCAAAGTTGGACTTGAGTTAGAACATGTTTGCCATTTCTGTCTGGAAAATTGTCTAAATGTATGGTCACAAAGTAAAACAATTTGCAAGCAGGCAGATTACTGCAAATTTCAGTTTGTGATTGTATAACCTTAACTATTAGGGAAAAAAAGATGGTAGGATGTTTAACTGTTGCTAGGAACAGCAGAGGATCAATTGAATCATGAATGCTTCATTTCACTGTAATCTGGCATGGATGTTAACTAAATAAGCCTCTCCATTCAGTCAGATTTTAATCTTACTATTCTAATCAAAAAAAAAAAAACAGAATAAAACAGTATGCAGTGCAACTGAATAGTATCTTAGAAGATGGGAGACAGAGGTAGGTTCTGTAGGGCACTAAGGATTGTTTGGGCATCCTGACTGTGACTAGTTAAAAGAAATTGACCAAGTGTTGACCTACTGCCTTCAATATAGTAATACGGTTTCCTGAGAAACAGTTCAGTCAATCAGTTTAAAGCAGTAAGTCATTTAGTAAAGCAGATGGTGCTGAAGATGTAAATCTGCCTACAAAACTCATTTTCTGTGTAAAATGATTGTGCCACCTTGTTTGCTGCAAGTTAAAAGGTTTAAAAATCTTCCTGTGTAAGAAAGGGGGAATAGTGGTTAACCTTGGTGTGGTTAACCTTCTAACCAGAAGAACTAATTCCATCAGGTACTAGATCAAAAGCTCCTCTAAATTACCGTTCACTTTTCAGCTGAAGCATGCACAAATTCAGCCTCTGTAAACATGAATGAAAACAAAGATCTGAGATAGTCTCATAACAGTTATTCTTGTAGTTTCTTTTAGTGAATGTTGGGAGATGTAGAGGCTGGGAGGAAAAAGAAAGTGAGAACATGGGCTCATGTTGGAATCAACAATTTGTTTGCATAAGAGCTGATTTCCTGAAAGGATAGTTAGACAGTCAGCAAAGACTGCTGTAGAAAGCAAGGCCGTAGCATATGTGAGTTGAACCTGTTAGTGGGGACCAGTTGACGCGTAAGTTTTATAGAATTTGCTGCTAACCATCAACATGCTTTACCTTTTGAGTCCTGCTGGATTTACTTCACTTAACCCAGGCTTCCCAGGAAGATTTCTATTCTGATAAGCAATAAGTTCATCTAACTGTTCTGCAGGGAAATAAAATCCCATCTTGCATGTTCAGTTCTGGCTATGATTGACTGGTTTCTGTTCATATTGACAGTAGCGTTGTTTCACAAGAGGTCCCTAGATCAAGGAAGTCAGTAGAGAGAATTCAGCTTCAAAGTAGACTAGATTTTGAATTTTTAAGAGGGGAATCAGTCCTGGAATCTATATGTAAGCATTTGTATCTAGCTGACAAAGATACTTTTATGCAGAACTGAAACATCTCTGTTAAATTTTGTGAAAGAGCTGGAGTATTTTCAGGATATATTTTGAGCTGAAATGTGTGTGTGTGTGTGTGTATATATATGTATATATGCAACATATGTTTAGTATGCTAGTAAGTTTTCAACTAATAATACTTTATGTTTTTTGTGATACCATAAAGGAAAGACTAATCATATCACCAGTCAGTTCTTCATGGTAACTCTCTGTGGATATTGAATGTTAATACTGAGTTTTAAAATAGGAAGAAAATCGTAGTTGCATTCTTACTTCGCTAGTACGTACAATGTACATATAATTAAGTTACAGTTCATCTTCTACAGGCCAGCCTTAAATTTCAGAACCTAAAGGTCTTTTTACAGTTATTTGAAAGAAAAAAAGAAAGTATTCTCCTTGTTCCTTCCTTCCCCCTTCCAAGTTAAAGGCTTAAATTAAAGCCTTGGTAGTTTTGTGATCAAGAAATGTACGGTTGTTCTTTGCTATGTTAATGTAATTTTATTTTAGATGCTATGAATACCTTGAGCATCCTAGGAAATATACCATCACTTTTAAATATGTCAGACATTAACTACTGGTAATTTGATATCTGTCTTCTGTGTTGGAACCAGACCTAGGTATCCGGTAGTAACCAGGGAAACAGCTGTTACTCAGTCAAAGCAAAAGCTTCCT